TAGATAGCTCTTCTGCAGGAATCAAGAGACCCCTTAGGTTAAGAAGCTCTTCTGCAGCAAGCAGGAGACCCCTTAGCTTAGGAAGCTCTTCTGCAGGAATTGGGATAGGTGATTGAGCAGTGAGCACAGGTTAGGGGTCTTTACTATTGCCTTGTAGAATCTCACAGTTAACAACATTATATAAAAAAGAGCCAGTCCACCCAAAATGACATTTTAGTTATCTATAGAGCCTGGTGGGCTGAGTCAGCCCCTGCCATCTTATGTCTTGGATACTCCAACAATTGAGATCCGACTACCATAATTGCCAATACATAAGAAATCCAGCAGGGATGGTAGAGGTTCCTCATAATGTCACAGCAGGACAGAGATCTCACCAAATATATTGTTTTTTTGCTACTCTGGGCCTTTAATGAACAAAATCCCATGCAGTATATTTTCTGAGTTGATTCTTAAAGTCCTTAATTCAGCTACTGTATATGATAAAACTTCTAGTGCCCATTGGACCTTCCGCTGTTGTTGAACTACAAGTCCCATGAGGCACTGCAAGACTCTGACAGTCACGGACATGATTTCCTGAGGCAGACGCATGGTGGGATATGTAGTTTGGCTACCCCTGCAGTTACATGAATGGACCCCACAGAAAAGTCTAGCTGGAACATCTCAAATACCAGCACTTACCGGGTGGGGATCCCTCTGTCACAAAGCCATCAAATATGGTCTGTGTGAAGACTGGAAAGTTATCATTCTGATCTTTCACATGAACAAAGAATGTCTTCGGCTCTTCCACGTTCCACGTTTCCGACAAAGCATGCACCTCCAGCTAAAAGACAGTTAGTAACAGAATACGTTTTATATGTTCCAAACATTCCGAGATGTCTATGACATATTTCTTTTTTCATGTTCCACTGGAAGTTTGGCAGATATTGCTTATAGAGATACTGTCACCTTGCCTATGCAGTGCAAAGTGCATCCCCTGCCCCCTTATACTCACCTTACCTGTATTACCTTGCAGCCACCTGGCACTTCAGGGTGTAAGAGAGCATGTATCCTGCTCCCCAGGACGGTGCATCAGCCAATCACTAGGCCTGAGCTCTGTCACATTACCAGGGAGTGACAGCACTGCTCCAGCAGGTCATCAAATGCCAATTTCACCACCAGGATGGTGATCTGATAAGGATTGTCCGCAGTGATTGTATCTGCTTATACAGGCCAGATATAGAGTTCTCAGCAAGGGGTAAATTGCTAGTCTGAGCCGACCTGTGACAGTCTCATTGTCACAGGTCGGCTAGAGCTATGAGGTGAGTGAAAAGCACTCACCTCATAGTTCTCCTTTAAGCCCTCCAGGTTATTGCTAATCATAGCTAAGGTCGATAAAACCTCCCTAAATACAAGTAAAATGTATAATGACCACAGATTATTTACCATGAGTGAAGGGAGGCTGCCAACCCCGGCCCCATGTACCATCAGCAGGCCCATAATACGTATATGAATTTGATTATTTCTTAGGAGTAGAATGTCACTATTGTATTACAACAAAGATTTTTCCCGACACAGACAATGACTGGAAGATGGCGCATGGAAGAGGTGTGCACTCACCTGGTACTTATCAATCACCTCCCTGTCCAGGGGTCTGGTTACCATTAGGATTCCAGTTTTGGCGTCAATGGTGAAAACTCCAACTGGGGGCCTGTCTGCTCCTTCCCCACTTATGGAGTATGTAATAGTCTTGATTTTTGTGCTTTGAGAAGAACTAATCTGGAAAATGAGGATATGACAACGTTAACCAATGTCCTTATAGTTTTCATATTACATTGCTGTAGATCTATCCATAGTCCTCTGTATCGGGAGCTTCAGTAGGGTGTAGTAGGAGTACACTTCACCGAGGTGCCTTGTTCAATGTGGCTTCACATACATTTGTAAATGTAACAAAGATCTTTTAGTGACAAGAGACACTGTAAATCTATTCCACTATAAAAGCTTCTAGCTTCCAGTCTGCAGTTTGTCTTTCCTGTACACTGAGCCACATATGCTGAGATAAAGTAACTCCCATGCGTCATTAATTTATTGAGGCCTGGCCAATCAAAGACTGGAAACCCGGAAGACGACCAGGACGAAGATGGAAGTACCGGTCGAAGGAGGTGGGGATCGCTTTGGCAGGTAAGTCTACCACAATGTTCTAATACGCTATGCATGCTACCACATCATAGCATGCTTGTGCTGACGTGATTTACTATTCCTTATATAGCCACATAGCCATATTAGGTAAATGTGGCTTAATGGTAAATGTCAATGACATAACTGCATTCCAGCCCTTTGCTTATGTGCAGCTGTGGACAGGGAACGTCTCCGGCTGTAGCTCATAATGGTGGTGGAAGGAGTTTCCTTTCAGGTTGGGTTCAGTCTGGACCTAAGCTGATCCCTAGTGGGGATCTCTATGCTCTCTTTTTGTCCTGGTTGACCACTGCCACCAGAACAGAAAGTGAAGGACAATCCAAAAATGTAAGTTGCCCCAAGAACAGGAATATCGGAGAAATCCTCCAATGATGACATCTGCGGTGACAAGTGTCTAAGAAAGGATTTCCATTACTTTGGAGATATTTCCTCTCACATCCTTTTGTGTCTAATGAACAGGACACAATGAGGGGAATTTATCAAAACTGAAGCAGACAAAATCTGGAGCAGCTGTGCTTGGCAACCAATCAGCTTCTCTATTCAGTTTGTTCAGTTAAGATTTGAAAATGAAAGAGAGAAGCTGATTGGTTGCCATGCACGGCTGCTCCAGATTTTGTCTACTCCTGTTTTGATAAATTCCACTCAATGGATTTAGCTTTAGAAATAATTTAAAGGGAAATTAAACTCTGTCTTCGGTTACGGTTGCCACCTGTCCAGGATTCACCCGGACAGTCCAGGTTTTGAATGCTGTGTCCGGGTTTCATGGCAGCTGAAACCCGGACACAAGATGTCAGGCAGACAGGGGCAACCAAAATTGAGAAAACAGTCTCAATTGTGATATTTGCATGTGAATGGGCGGCGCTATTTACATATGAATAAGCCACAATCAATTCTCCCAAAAAGATGTCCGCGCGTCACTAGAGTGTTCAGGTTTCACTTGAAGAAAAGGTGGCAACCCTATCTTCGGGGACCAGGGTTTTTGGCATAATACGCAAAGCAAGTATACTTACCTGCAAAGCCCCCCCCTCCTCATGTATTTTTTTGCTGCCACTGACATCTTCGACTAGTCTTTTTCTGGTTTCAGTGTCTTCAGCCATCTTGATTTTCTTCTTGCCGGGATGATGTTATTCCCATGCATGTACACTAGAATTAATCTATACCAGCTTCCGGCAGACGCCATGATTGTATACTGAACTGCACATGTGAAGCTCAGTGTATATTTAGAAAAAGCATTGCTGGCAGGCAGGTCGGAAGCTTTTTTGTTTTTCTTAAAGATATACTGGCCGTTTCATTGTTCTGTTCTCAAACCTTCACCACCCATACCTGAGCAACGCGTTTAGGAAATGGACCCTTATCATTCTCAAAGATTGCCAAAGGAGGGATTGTCCAATCTCTTTTCTGCCTCTTCAACAAATGGGAATTTTCCTGCAAGTAAGAACATTTATTCTTAATTTCACATCAATTGCATGTTTAATGCATCACATACTATAGCAAGCTGACAAAATTGATGATGTGGTAACCTACTGAAAGTAATACATTGGATGGATGAACATTGTGGGCCACCTATGGAGGAAGCACCGTTTTTAAACTGAATTACATCATGAGTTTATATACTTCTGTACTTAAGGGGCCCCTATTTCTTCTACACTGTTCCCAGTTTAAGATTTGAATTTGTATAAGCCTCCAGATCCTTTTCTGGATCATTACATAAACTTATATAATTTTGCATTTGCACAGGGAAGAAAAAGTTGAATAAAATCTTGCAGCTAGTAGATCCCTGTACGGGTAAGGTGGCTTCTGGCTATGATAGTTCTGGCAAACAAGTAGGTACACTGATGGCCAAAAATCTGTGGACACCTGATCATCACATCTATAGTTTGTTGGACATTGCATTCCAAAACCATGGGCATTAATATAGAGTTAGCCCCTCCTTGTGGCTATACCAGCTTTACTATTCACTATAAAGGACAGGTACTGGTGTTGGATGGGAAGACTTGGCTTACAATCAGCATTCTTATTCATCCAGGGGCGTCCCGAGGCTGGGTGTCACCCGGAGCGGTTACCGGGTGACACCCCACCGTGACGTCATCGCACATTTGCGTGATGTCACCACGTGCATGCGTGATGATGTCATCGCGCATGCGCGGCGATCTTACCGATACCTGCCGGCAGCCATTTTGGTGATGGATGCCGGCAGAAAGAGGAGGGAACAGTCACCCGACAGAATAAGGTATGCCGCCGGGTCTTCTCCTCTCTCCCGAAACTGTCGGGCGCTTGGTCCATGACTGAGCGCCCGACAAGAGTCATTTTGGTGTCACCTGGGTGCGGCCGCACCCCCCTTGTGACGCCACTGTATTCATCCCAAAGATGTTCAATAGAGCTGAGGTCGGGGCTTTGTGCAGGACACTTGAGTTCTTCCACAAGAAACTCATCAAACCGTGTCTTTATGGAGCAGGCTTTGTGCTCTGGGGCACAGTCATGCTGGAACAGAAGAAAGCCTTCCCCAAATTGTTGTCCCAAGGTTAAAAGTCCACAATTGTCTAAAATATCTTTGTATGCTGTAGTATTAACAGTATCCTTCACTGGAAAGACCTAAACTCAAGATTTTGGAGGGCTGCCCACATAGTTTTCACACCACTGTGTTCCTATGTGTTAAAGCAGCCATGCTTACACATTTCAGCCAACATGTGGCCTTAATCATAGTATGATTAAGTCAAGGCGTTGGATAAGACACGTAAGCATGGTTGCCGTACTTTCAGCCTGCTTAAAGGAGAACTATGAGGTGAGTGCTTTTCACTCATCCTCATAGTTCTAGCCGACCTGTGACAAGAACTATGAAATGAAACTGTCACAGGTCGGCTCAGTAGATCGGGAAGTGAGCGAACACATATCGGCGCTCGCTCACTAATCGATCTTGTCACGGCACAGAGCGGTGACAGGGGAGAGACTGGATTCCCCCCTCCCCGATCCTCCAGCGCTGACTGGTGGAACGGACAGGGGAGGGGGCGGGTACAGCTGGCTCTGCCTCTAGATAGGCAGAGCCAGCTGTCACTCACACAGCTTGGAGGATCCAGACATAATTGTCGGGATCCGCTTCAGCTGTGGTGTCTCAGTATACCGCAAGCTGTAGCTCGCTGTATACTGAGCTTAGGGTAATGGGAGGACGCTAGTTTGTGTCCTCCCGTTACCCTTCGGAGAACTATGGGGAAAAGCCCTAACCCCGTAGTTCTCCTTTAAGGTCCAGCAAAAGCTAAACATTTTATTTTGTATTCTGACTCTGATTGTTGTATTAGCAATTTACCCCTTGCTGAGAACTGTAATAAAGAAACATTTTTCCTAAGTATTATCAGTGAGTGGCAGACTTCTAATTGTCTGTAGATCCTGTTGGGGAGATATCACTCACTTCCTTTCCCAGTGACAACATTATTGCACGACACAATCTCCTGTAAGAACACACACTAAATCTAAAAGAGGATCCCACCTTCTCCTACTCCAAGTCTTTTTTTCTGCCATTCAGCTACAAACAATATGGAGGGACCATAGCAAACCAAATGCAACCATTGATGGAAAATCACTCTTCTGTGCTTAGGATATAAGAAGATAAGTACGCCTAAAGCTGCTGTGCTAAAAGGACTTTCAAGATGCTAAAATTATTTGTACAGCGCTAAAAGACCCCAATGAGGGACCGATAAGTGCTAAATAACCTGTTTTAACAGAATAAAATAGAATACATCCAATTCAGTGTTCCAATATTGCCTGTGCATAAAGACACGTGAGTGAACAAACAATAAAAAACATTTGTATAGAGTTGACAATGGTGAATAAATGTTACAAAAATATTTCAAGTATCAAAGTGTGAAAGTGTATCAGAAAAAATGTGTGCAAAAACAATGTGTTCCAAGAAAGGTAATCCCCTATTGTGAGCGTTTATCCCCTCCTTTGTGTTAGAATAGATCCCCCCATAGGTAATGCACTCACCAGAATCTCTGACCGTATAAACGGCCAGATAATCACTGAGGAGCCAACAATCTCTGTGCCTCTGTAATCAGATCGCCACGGGGGATTCTGTTTACATGTGTAAAACAAACTGTCAGCTTTACACTGGAAGTGATTGTGAACCGCTTCCAGGGGCCAGTGTAGTGCGCCCATCTCCTCCACGCTGAATGGGTCCGGATGCGATCACTTCTGGTCCCTCAGCTGTCATTCCCCGGCCGCAGAAGCCAAAATCGCTCAGTAGCGCAATCTAAGCTCCAATAGCTTCTTTGGAGTGGAAAGGTGACACTAGGGCTCGAGGGTTTGATAAAGAGTTGCGCTAATATCGTGCAATGTAAAAATTTGCAACTACCACCATTTTATTCTACACGGTCTTTGCTTGCAGAATATATATATATAGAGGGGAATTTATCAAAATTGGAGCAGACAAAATCTGGAGCAGTTGCCCATGGCAACCAATCAGCTTCTATCTTCAGTTTGTTCAGCTAAGATTTGATAATAAAAGAAAGAAGCTGATTGGTTGCTGTGCACAGCTGCTCCAGATTTTGTCTGCTCCAGTTTTGTTAAAATTCCCCTCATAATATTTGGGTGGTTTTAAGTAATTTTGAGGCCTAAAATGTGGATTATAACATACAGTGTGTGCAAAAAAACGCCTTGGCAGTGAAAGGGTTAAAAAATTAGCACTATATTTAGGATTTCTAAATATGCACATGTAACTGCTGCGACCCTGGTACTTCCTCCAGCGATGGGAACATGCTTTACGGTAATTGCAGGACACATTTTGGTAACAATAGGCATAGTTACACACCCTGGTAGTTTCTAAAGCGAAGTGAACATGCTTTATTGTAATTGCAAGCAGGGGGGTCCCGTGGCTGGGTGTCACCCGGAGCGGAGACCGGGTGACACCCCGCTGTGAGGTCACCATGCATGCGCGGTCATCTAATTGACGGCTGCCGGTGGCCATCTTAGTGATGGACGCCGACAGAGAGAGGAGGGGACGTTCACCCGGCGGGACGAGGTATGCCCCTGGGTCCCCTCCTTTCTCCTGCAGCCATCGGGCTCTCAGTCCATGACTGAGTGCCCAACTTTTAAGAGTGGGTGACTCCAAAATGACTGCCAGTCATTTTGGTGTCACCCCCCCAATGGTGTCACCCGTGTGCAGGCCGCCACTGATTGCAGGATACATTTTGGTAACAATAGGCTTACGCCAGCAACAGCAGCCATGTACAACAATTATTTTAAAAAAGAAGAAAAAGTATCGGAATCATGCTACTTTAGATGGGGGGCCTTCATGGTTTCTTGCACCGGAGCCCTGAGGTTTCTACTTACACCTCGGTACCGCTGTATAATGTTTACTCACCGAGCTCATGAGGAAGTTAATGTGTAAACTAAAGATTAAATAAAATATATTAAAATAGCTGTGCCCGCAGTTGGGCTTTATTAGGCCATAGAACAACCGTCATGTCAGATCTCCCCGTATCCCTCCACAACCTCTTGTCTGGTACTTTCTATAAGATGTTAGATGGTATAGTGCAGGGGTAGCCAAACTCCGGCCCTCCAGCTGTGGTGGAACTACAAATCCCGTGAGGCATTTCAAGATTCTCACAGCCAAAGACATGACTCCCGGAGGGAGATGCATCATGGGATTTGTAGTTTCACCACAGCTGGAGGGCCGGAGTTTGGCTACCCCTGGTATAGTGTTACTGTATTTATCCTTGTTGCCTGCAAAGGATTATGGGAAAGTTCAGGTGCATTTGTAAGTAGAATTCAAGCAAACGGCACTGATTTAATGCAAACATTTATTAATTTAATGTAAAAAAAAAAAAGCCTTCGTGTAAGGTGTGGGATAGTCGTCATATGAAGAAGAGACAGAGGAAATAGTCTAGATAAGGACAGTACCAGTCTTCCCAGAGAGAATTCAAGCCTTTACCTGGTGAGTCAAAGAGAAAAAAACAGTTATAAATCAGAGAAGTCCCACAACACAGTCAGCACCACCCTACTGAACACTGCTATCACCTATGCCATGTTTTAGGTTAAAGCGTATTAAATCCCAGAAACAAAAATGTTATATATTGTATCTTCCGGCCCTGAGATGTGGTGGCTGCATTTGTTTCTTTTTTTCACCTGGTGATCCTGCCAGTAACGCATTTCCAGTCTTAGGGGGACCCTGTCACCCTATTTTGTTTGCTCCTGATTTTGGGGCTACAGAACAGCTTTGCCTTCTTCTTCCCTATAACATGGAGGGGGGGTTCTGTTAAGGTGTTTTACTCTGGTAAGGCTACATGGAATTTTTATTTTTTTATTTTGATATACAGTATATATATATATATACTGTATGTTTAAAGGTGTTGAAGAAACGATACAAAGATACACATTAAAGGAGAACTATGGGGTTAAGGCTTTTCCCCATAGTTCTCCTTAGGGTAACGGGAGGACACAAACTAGCGTCCTCCCGTCGCCCTAGGCTCAGTATACCGCGAGCTGTAGCCTCGCGGTATACTGAGACGCCGCAGCTGAAGCGGATCCCGACAATTGTGCCGGGATCCGCCCAGCTGCATGACTGACAGCTTGCTCTGCCTATCTAGAGGCAGAGCCAGCTGTACCCGCCCCCTCCCCCGTCCGTTCCGCCAGTCAGCGCTGGCGGATCGGAGCGGGGAGGGGGGAATCCAGCCCCTCCCCTGTCACAGCAGAGAGCCGTGACAGGATCGAGAGGTGAGCGAACGCCGGCATATGTTCGCTCACCTCCCGATCTACTGAGCCGACCTGTGACAGTCTCATTGTCACAGGTCGGCTAGAACTATGAGGTGAGTGAAAAGCCCTCACCTCATAGTTCTCCTTTAATGAACAGGACACCATACAAGTTAATTGACGCATGCAGTTGGTACAGTAAGGCATTTTAGACTATTTAAAGAAAAACCTAGGGTACCCCAATTTAAGTCCTCCAGCTGTAGTGAAACTAAAAATCCCTTCATGCATCTGCCTCTGCAAGTCATGTCTGTGGCTGTCAGGGTCCCCCAATACCTTATGGGACTAGAAGTTCAACAACAGCTGAAGGGATGAAGTTTGGCTATCTCTGGGCTAGATGGTTATTCCCAGCCACTGTGTGATGGATCATGTATAGAAGATGTATTTCAAGACCTTGAGCCCAGAGGAGAGAAGAAAAAAAAAAGAAGAGAACGTCAGAAACAGAAAAAGTTCAATGGGGAGAGTAATAAGATGATGAGGAAGAATAAGAAGAGAAATAGGTGTAGAGAAGAAGAAAAGAGGAATAGATGTAGACAAGAAGGGAAGAGGAATGGATGTGGGGGGAGTAGATGGAAGTAGGTTTGGACCCGGGATCCCCATCTACTTGGGACTTTATTATAGCAGCAGTACTGTGTTGTAAGCTCACTACAGGAAGTACCAAGCTCGCTGGTTTTCTGGCAGGATCAGCAAGTGTGTTTGCTGCATTTATCAGCTACAACAAAACACTTTCAACTGTATGTTTAACAGATGAAAAGTAATAAAATAAGAGTCATTTATTGTTAGTTTTACATATACTTTCATTTTTTTAGTCCACGCTAAACTGATTTTTAGGATAACAAATCATAAACAAGTAAAAGTATGGGGGAAATGTTGCACAAAAATTGGACTTTAAGTTGTCATACACCGATGAGGAGGAGACAAGAGTGCTTCACAGTACCTGCTGTTCCCTCTCGTTCCATACAAGGACTGTCACCGAGTGTTTCTTTCGAGCGGCATCCCAGGCATTCAGCACAAAGCTGAGGGCTCCATCATGGAGAGTGACCTGTCTCTTCACCGTCACCTTACCATCAGGGAACACTCGGAAACGTGTGTCGTCAGGGGAATACAGGGCCAGAGTTCCAGCGCTGCAGGTATTGAAATCCACTACGACGGAGAAATAAAATGTGAATTCATCTTATCTTAATATCTTTTTTTTTTTCAGTAGTAATAAGAGAAATTGTGAATTATGATGTTTGCCGGCACTTCAGCAAAAGGCATTGGAGTTAACAGGGATGGCAATATTAGGGTGCTTTTGGGTGGTATTTGAGGGTGCAGTAGTTTTAAATGACGTCTGGGGGTTACAGAAGCTACTTCGAACTTGTATGAGTGCCGATATTTATTTTCCGGTACTCGCCGATACTGAATACCGATACCGGACGTCCCATTAAGGAAGCCGGGTGGTTTGTAATGACTCACCCCATGGATGGCTTCCTGATTGGCCAGGAAGCCGCCTCCATGCTCCCTAGTCACCAGGTGACAAGGAAACATGGAGCCGGCTCTCTGACCAATCAGGAAGCAGGTGGGCAGGTAATGACTCGCCACCAGGCTTCCTGATTGGCCAGCTTCCGGACCATTAAGGAAGCTGGGCTGTGAGTCATTACACACTGTACAGCTTCCTGATTGGTGGGAGTGTAAAGACTCACTGCCCGGCTTCCTGATACCAGAAGTTCTGGTATCAGGATAAGTATCGACATCGGCACCGATACCGTTACTAGTATCGGTATTGGTGCATCTCAAATATATTTATATATTATTCATAAATACACGCTAAAAAACATGGGAGTAAATGTTTTATACAAGGGCCACACAACTTTCATCCAGGATTCACAAATTTTTCCAATTAAATCCAGCTATACATTTTTTGGATAAATCTGATTTTCAGGAAGTTTTGGTGCATTAGCAGTTCATTGTATTCAATGCGCTGACTTAACGCAACTCTCCCAAAAATATGTGTGTTCTAAAAAATGTGCGCACTAACAAATGTTCTCCTAAAGGGGATTCATAACATTCCTTGTATCTGTTTCTACTTGCAGCTTCTATAGTGTCAGCGCTTGGTCTGCATATAGTGTTATGGAAAGTGACAGAATTTGTGATATCCGTTATTGTCTAAATAAATATATTTTGGGCTAAAGCTAAATGGATGATTTTTAATAGGTCAATCACAGTACTGAAGTTGCCTGTGATTTATTGCAAAGAGTAGCAAGAGTTCATAGGAGTTCAATTACCTGAAAAAGAAGTAAACTTCGCTGTTGGTGGTGTGCTTTTGTCTTAATGGGCAAACTTGCCCAGCATACCCGCACATCATGGCACACACCCATACCTTTCCCACTATGCTGTCCTCCAGCCATGATGGATTCAGGGTCCTGTCACCATTTTGTCCCCGTTTTTGCCATCTCCAGTGCCACTCATTCCAGGTCCCACACTCATCCTCTTTGGCTAATGGATTCCCACTGATGATGTAACTTCTACACAATAGTATCCCCGGCACTATTGTCGGCAGGCCAGGATCTACACTACATTGTGCATGCGCCGTGTCGTGTACACGTAGAACAAAAAGTAATTTTTTCAGCAAAATAGACTTTGCATGTCTCTTCTGCACTCTATCTCCTTGTGACTTTTTATTTGGGGACTTCACTTCTGTGTTAACACATGGAACAAATAATTGAGACATCGATGTGCAACTTGTATGACATTGTACACGAATGCTGGGCCGTATTTATTCTCTTTACTGCCCCAATGCGCCCCCCTGTATGCAGGCTGCATACAAGTGATCTCGATGATCACTTGAACAGAACAAGCGGCGGCTTCCCCGCTGTACATTTAGCTCTGCTTGGCCAAAGCCGGGCTAAATGTAGAAAAGAACTACCCGCCTGGCACCCGAAACTGCATGTCCCGGGCGTTAGGAGATAGGAATTCCACACCCCTGCCGCCCCTCTACTCCCTGCTGCCCCGAGGCCGGGTCGTGGTTGGCCTTGTGGGAAATCCGGCCCTGCACGCATGCATTTGTTCCATGTTGTCAGGGGCGTCCCGAGGCTGGGTGACACCCGGAGCGGTAACCGAGTGTCACCCCGCGGAGACGTCACAGCGCATGCGCAGTATTCTGATACCTGCCGGCGGCCATCTTGGTGATGGACGCCGGCAGAGAGAGGAGGGGACAGTCACCTGGCAGGATAAGGTATGCCGCCGGGTCCCCTCCTCTCTCCTGATACTGTCGGGCTCTCGGTCCTTGACTTTTCAGAGTGGGGTGACACCAAAATGACTGTGAGTCATTTTGGTGTCACCCCTCCAATGGTGTCACCCGGGTGCGGGCCGCACCCCCCGCACCTCCCTTGTGACGCCACTGCATGTTGTTAGAGTCCGACTGCTACTCTAAAGCTCACCACACATGTTACCACCTGATGGTACAATTTCCTTTAGATCTACCAATAATTGTGCAGTGTAAGGGCCTGCCTGATTGGATACAGATTGACTGCTCGACAGTCGGTTTGGGGAAAGACTGGAATGTCTTGGCTTTTTGCCTTTTGTGGTTCCTGTGGAATCTGCAGCTGAGTATGTGAAAAAGTATTTTATATAATGTTTAATGTTTAGACCCCGCACAGCCTCCTTAGACCCCCACGCAGCCTCCTGAGACTCCACACAGCCCTCCTGAGGCCCCACACAGCCCTTCTAAGACCTCGCACAGACTCCTGTGACCCCCACACAACCCTCCTGAGAGCCCCATACAGCCTCCTAAGACCTCGCACAGCCCTCCTGAGACCCCGCACAGCCCCCTGAGACCCCGCACAGACTCCTGTGACCCCCACACAACCCTCCTAAGACCCTGCACATCCTCCTGAGAGCCCCATACAGCCTCCTAAGACCATGCACAGCCCTCCTAAGACTCTACACAGCCTCCTGAGACCCCACACAGCCTCCTGCGACCCCACATAGCCTCCTGCGACCCCACACAGCCCTCCTGATGCCCCACACAGCCCTCCTGAGACCCCGCACAGCCCTCCTGAGACCTCCCCCAGCTGGGACCAAGCCCTGCTGCTCCACCACTGTCCTAAAATCATTAGTCTGTATTGTTTTTAAAAAACTCTCACATGACACTAAAAAAAAGTGTTGGTAATTGGTATCGGCGAGTCCTTCTCATTCAGTAATCTATTTTTGTTGGACCGGCAGGGCCACACACTGTAGACGTTTTGGCCGATTCCTATGAATCTACTGACGTTCAAGCAGTGCATGGGCAGTCAGGGATCTGCTGCGTGTTGCTCACCTTTGCCCAGGACTCTTCCTCTTTCCAGAACCTTGCGGGTCACAGTAAAGGCATAACGCTCCGTGCTGAATCCCGGCTCACACAATGCCGGTTCCTCTGTGGCTCCATCGCACACCTGCAAGAGCCAATATGATAATAAAAGTCACATCACTGAAAACATGAGACCGTTTCATCATACTCCACATACAAGAGCAAAATCTTTAGCGGTAACCCGTGTTTATGTATTTCTTATTATAGAATCAATGCAGTATGATGTGCTCTATGATATGTAGTATGATATGCAGAATTATATGTAGTATGATGTGCTGTATGATATGTAGTACGATATGTAGCATGATATGCAGTATGATGTGCTGTATGACATGTTGTATGATATGCAGAATGATATGTAGTATGATATGCTGTATGACATGCAGAATGACCTGCCATAAGATATGCAGTATGAAATGCTTTATGACATGCAGAATTATATGTAGTATGATGTGCTGTATGACCTGCCATATGATATGCAGTATGACATGCAGAATAATATACAGTATGACACGCAGTATGATATACAGTATGACTCTTAGTATGATATGCAGTATGACTCTTAGTATGATATGCAGTATGACATGCAGTATGATTATACAGTGTGATATACCGTATGATATATACAGTTTGACATGTAGTATGATATACAGTATGACATGCAGTATGACATGTAGTATGATATGCAATATCCATGACATGATAAGTAACTTTACATACCTTGATTAGCAGCACACAGAGAGTCAGATAACAAAGCTGCATTTTGCAGAAGTCTTGCAGCCGCTCTGGAAAAGTCCAGACAGAGTGAGAAGATAGTCCCTTGATCCCTCCCCTCCCCCTTCACAGGGATGTGGCAGCAGGCAAACCCTCCAGCTGTTTAAGCAATTACAGATGTGAGAGGCTGAGCCTCCGTCCTCCTACACTGGAGGCTTCAGGGCCCTAATCACACACAGGTCTGATCACACTAAGGCTGGGCACACACCTTACAACCATCGCAAGACTTTTGTCTTGCGATGGTTGTAAGGTACTTAAAAAAACGTACGATCTGCCTATGTTGCATAGGCAGATCGTACTTGCGATGATCGCAAGCCACGCCCCCTGAGGGGCGGGCTTCCGATGACCGCAATGCCGAACGGGCAGTGTGCGCTTGCGCACACCGGCCCGTGCGGCTGTTATCGTACGGACATGCCACAAACCCGCCGAACATCGTACGATGCTCGGCGGGTTTTCAAACATGTCCGTAAGTTTAAAGTCGTGCGACCTTACAGTAGTAGAGGTCGCACGGCTTCCACACACCTTACGAACATCGTACGATCGCGGGATAATCGTAAGGTGTGTGGGCACCCTAAGGTGTTTTGGGGCATTTAATTAAATTTGTCACTAAATTTTGGGGTTTAATAAGGAGTTGCGCTAATATTGCGCAACATAAAAATTTTCAACTACCACCATTTTATTCTATAGGGTCTTGGCATTCAGAAAATATATAATGTTGGGGGGTTTTACGTCATTTTCAGGCCTAAAATGTGGAATATCACATGGGTGCAAAAAATGAAAAAAGGGCCTCAGTCATGAAGGGGTTAATTAACATTGGGGGGAGGGAAAAATATTTTTGACTTTAATGTCACTTTAAACCACAATGGAGTTCAATATGTAATCTAAACATTTTGGAGTTCCAATTTAACAACAAGGTGCATGATTGGTCATATAATTAGAGGTGGTGGGGGGCTCAGCTCCTGTGACCATTACATCCATCCAGAGTTCCCCTTACAGTAGGTTACACTTTTTATTGTAATTGCCTTAAATCTTCAGGTCAATCATGTGATAGGTCCCTTTTCTCTTTAATTTTCCTGGAAGTGGGCGGTCCTTCAGATGCAGAGATTGGCATTGATGTAATGACTTCAGCACTGATCTCTGCATGAATATAACGTAAATGAAGGATGCTGTGATCTCCCTTCAAGGGGCGGGCCTGGAACGTCCTGCAGTCACACACTCTTCCAGGTGGAATGACGTCCAGTATCACTCAACCCAGAAGACTGAGGACATCTTGTGGTGAAAAGAAAGTACTGCATGTGAAAACTCCAAAATAAAGAAGAATATTAAAACCGAAGTTGCTTTTTTGATTCATTTGTAACAGGTTTGCTTGAAGTTGGGCATTCACACAAACCTCATTCACACCCGGGGAGGGACAGGTACTGCGTGTGATTGCACACAGCAGCCTGTTCTTCCCTATAGGAGGAGGCGGCCATACGCTGTCATACGTACACCCGACCTGGACATCAACGCGGGTCCGGGTGTCCATGCTCGGACGCAGACAGGATCCATCCATCCGAGTTCAGACACCTGGACCCGCACGGCTGTGCAGCTCGGGTGTGCGTATGGCCGCATCCTCCGATAGGAAAGAACAGGCTGCTGTGTGCAATCATACGCAACACCTGTCCCTCCCCAGGAACGGCCCGATACGGCATGCACGCCACACGGATCTGTACAGCTCGACTATACGCTGTGTGAATGAGGCCTAACTATAATTAGACTCCATTCACAAAGCTAAAACATCACGATAAGCTCCTAAAGTGCAAGTTATATTTAACGCACTTCAGTGAGACACAATCTCTATACTTGTATTAAAGAAGAAGTCCGCTTTATTTTTAAATGAACTCTTGTAGTGGAGCTACCCCCACACTACAAGGGTTAGGTGCTCATTTTGGTCCAGGGGACTCACATAAAGAAGATACATTCACCTGACCCTCGGCCCTGCGGCAGTGACCGATCACCTTTTTCCCCTCTGCTCCGGCTGTGGTATAACCCTCAATGTGATGATGTCACGGGTCCTTAGACTGCTGGAGCCCAGGGGAGAAGAGACTGTGGGGACCAGTCTGGCAGCCTGGTGGGACCGAAGATCAGGAGAGTATATAATTCTTTATTTTCGTCCCTACCCCAAAACGAGCACTTAACCCTTGCAGTGCAGGGTTTGCCTCATTGCAAGGGTTAACTTGAAAAAAAAAATGAAGTTCTTTAAAGCTTTGTGAATGGAGGCTATTATGTGTAGAGCACAGAGCGTTTGTTCAGTCGGCGCATAAAAAGAACTATTCTAAATATGTAGCAGTAATATTGTCACAACATACTTATTAATAAAAATCTAACAAACTCTGTTTTACATAGAAGCAGCTGTCAGCGCTCCGGCACCAAAGACCGGGACCCGACTGTATGAGAGACAGGTGGTCCTGATGAGGTTGCCAGGTACATCGGTCGTGGTGAGGTAGGAAGTCTGGGGTGTATGAGGTGCATTTCATACATCATCGTTATAAATAGCACTCACACCCCATACTAAGCTAAAATACTAATTGGAATATTAGCTGACTCACAACATGACATGCAAATGACACAATCTAAATGAACTCATACCTGTGACAGGTCATAAAATGAATGGATCAACATGACAGCTAGGCAACCAGTGTATTTAGAGTCGGCAATGGCTGCCTTTATAGCCTCCCAATGCAGGTTTCTTCTTTATACTCTGCATGTGTTTTATGGATATTACAGCACACAAAGTCATTGTATACACAGAAGTGTTCATAAAAAGGTGTCTGACTGGAGGATGAAATGTAAAAAGATTTACAGTCCAATAAAATTGGCCACAGGTGTTGTTTAAAAGCCATCGCTGTTTACATACACGCATGCGTCCTACTTGTGAGTTTGTGTGTGTGTGTGTGTGTGTGTGTGTGTGTGTGTGTGTACAAGACAATGGGGTTGCTTGAATTTTTTTATTATTATCATTTATTTTTTAAACACATTTTAATTTTATTAATCTAACTTTATTGCTTTCAGATGGAGGAATAACAAGCCCCCTATTATGATAGCATTGGGCATGTGACAGGTACTCTTTATGGAGACATTATTGGGAAAATATGACAGAAAGGTTGACAGAAATTAAAGGTTTTTATCCAGGTCGGGTCGGAAGATTCTTCTTTTCAGCAGAGATCATATGAGTAATGCTGGGCACACACCTTACAACCATCGCAAGACTTTTGTCTTGCAATGGTTGTAAGGTAATTTAAAAAAGGTACGATCTCCTTATTTGGACAGGCAAATTGTACTTCCGATGACCGCAATGCTGAACGGGCAGTGTGCGCTTGTGCACAAGCCAGACCTCTTCTATCCAAGTATCCTTTCACAGTCCCATGAGTATAGGGAGACATGAGGGCGAGCGCACCCAGCAAGATCCAGTACTTTAGTCTATGGAAGTCAGCAAACCTTCCAGTATGCTTTTTGCTTGTGGTAGGCAACCAGTACACCTGGAAGAAACCTGTGCGAACATAGAAGAAACAAACTCTGTACCTACAGTGTACCTAGTGAGAATCAAACCCAGTGCTGCAAGGCAAGACCACTTACACATTGTACCCTTCCTACCATCTACTTCCTGTCACTGTGACACAATAGAAAGTGAGGAACAATCTCTTCAAAGGGGACACAGACATCTGTTTCTAATCCTTCCTCTCTCTATCTAAAAAGAAAAAAAGTTGGAGTTCTACTAGCGCCTGTCTGGAGGAAAAAATATTTTCAGCAGTCAAAGTGCTTTCTAACTCACCTTCCCCCTATATCACATTTATGGCTTGCTTTAACTTTAGCTGCACTGAGGTTGATTTACTGGTGAGACATGTACATCCCAGCCTGACCCCGCTGTCTAATATTTCATCTCTTGTTTACAATTGCTCCACTTGAGTTCCGTCCATCACTTGTCTTGTACTTGCCAAACTCCTCTCATGTGCTTTCCCTGGAGCTGGACAGACGGCTTGTGTTCTCAGTGTTCCCGGCTCCCTAATTGCCAGGAACATTTTCTGGATGATCATTTAGGTGACTAACAATGTAACTTAAAAAGCCCCATTCACTGAGAATCTCCCGCATGTGGTTTGTGTGCAGTACAGCCAGGTACACACCACTGAGTGCAACACTTCCTTTAGGATCATATCAATTCTCAATGTATTTCATCTTAGTTAGATATACACCGATCATCATGTGATGCCTTGGGCAATATTCTGCTGGGAGAACTTGGTTCCTGCCATTCATGTGGATGTTACTTTGACACGTACCATCAACCTAAACATTGTTGCTGACCAAGTACACCCCTTCATGGAAATTAGACATGTAAGCTGTGGAAAAATGTGATTTGGTTCGGTTCAAGTATTTTGTTATTTCGGAATTCGGGATTCGTAACCGAAATTCAATACGGTTCGGGTTTTGGATTCAGACGAAATCCAAATTTCGTTAGTTTCGGATGAGTTTACGAATATTCGTTGCGAGTAATGCTGGGCACACACCTTACAACCATCGCAACACTTTAGTCTTGCGATGGTTGTAAGGTACTTAAAAAAAACGTACGATCTGCCTATCTTGGACAGGCAGATCGTACTTGTGATGATCGCAAGCCGCGCCCCTTGAGGGGCGGGCTTTCCGATGACCGCAATGCCGAACGGCTTTTATCTTACGAGCATGCTACACGCATGCTACATGCTACATGTTCGTAAGTTAAAAGTCGTGCGACCTTACAGAAGTAGAGGTTGCACGGCTTCCACACACCTTACGATAATCGTACAATTGCGGTATTTCAAACATGTTCGTAAGTTAAAAGTCGTGCGACCTTACAGAAGTAGAGGTTGCACGGCTTCCACACACCTTACGATAATCGTACAATTGCGGTATTTCCCGTGATTATCGTACGATTATCGTAAGGTGTGTGGGCACCCTAAAACAGTAAACCATATACAGATAATAATACTAAAGCTGAATCTCCTAGACCCGAATAGCATTCGGGATCCGAATTTCTA